CACGGTGTTTAATGGAAACTTGAAGCCTCGGCCAATATCTGGGAGAAACTTCCGATTGTTTAAAGCCGGCGGGAGCATATCTTATGACATTGGAGTTATGGGGTCGACAACGTTGTCTCTTCTCCCCATAGAGGTATGGGTAATTAAAATAAGTTATTTTTTATTGATCAAAGACGAAAATATTAAATTATCCTTTGCTGGTCTTGTACTTGTTTTGATCTTATGATCCAGACATTAATTTGTTTGGCATTATCATTATTATTCAAGTTCTTGTACCGTCGATGTTTTTACCACATCAACCTTTTTTATTACAAGATCCTAGAATTCATTAAAATTACCAAATTAAGAAGAACAAGTTGCATCCTCATTGGTTGGATTTTCATCAGCTAAACCATCACCATTAATTTGATCAAGCACCAGCACTAGCCCCATACCAAAGGCCCCATCAAAACCCGGTTTTAGTGCAAGTAACAAAACGTCTTTTCCAAGTACGACATTGGTGGAGGTATCCACTTTACGTCTAATCTCTGCCACAATCTCCTTTTCCGCATTGAAAATGGTGCAATGCCTGTTGGAAAAGGATCCTTCGATCTGGTACTCCTCACCTGGATTGTTGTTCACCTCCACCGCCACACTGAACCGTCCAATCATTGATGATCTGCGAACGCTGAAGATTGGCTTTTGTCCATCTCCATTAATTCTCTCCCCTACGAAGCCTTCCCACCTGTGATGGAGACTCGGCCTCTGCAAAAATAGTTACGATTTATATCAGTTTTGAGAGTTATTTCTATTCAGTAGTGGTCGTGTAAATACGAAGCTGACAATGAAGTCTCACTAAACTCGTTTGAGAGGAATAGTCCAAACCCTAATACGAAGATTATGATTGTTAAACTTAAACAATCTGAAATTTTTAACCTTTAACAACATTGGATTTTTAGAGCTTTAAAAACTGATGCAACTAAAGTTAACCAATCAATGACTAGCCCGAGTTGACTCAATATGACGGTTAAGAATTTGTTATGAAGAGTAAGTGTTACAATCAACAAACACGTAATTAAATTCATTTCCAGTGAAAACCCAGAAAATTAAGTGAGAAACTGAAGCAACCCTCGTTATTAAAATCAATTTTCCTTCTTTAATTTCGTGATCGTTTTAACAAGTTACGGTAAATCTTGACTCACTCAATTGACTCAGTGGAACAGCTGAGAAATGATTAGCAATTAGTCAATTACCTTACGGCGGACAGTAAGAAGGCATCTACCGGAGGCATCCATGAGAACGACTTCCCCTGTATCACGAGCATCATGGCCATATGAGTCGACTCGAAAGATGAGTTCACCTTTGCAGTCGTAAGCAGTGTAGCCATCGCCAGCGAAGAAAAGAGAGTTCTTTGAAATAGTGAGGTGGGTTTCATCCTTGAATACGAATCCTTCTTCCACAATTACTTCACTCTTCATCTTCTTTCTCTCTTTCTAAGTTTCAGATTTGAAGATCTCAATTGATAGAAATTTGTTATTGGAATATACAGTACAAAATTCTTGAGAGTGATCAATGTGATATATATAAAGAGAGAGAGAGAGGGGGTAGAGAAAAATCTAGAGCTCTATTTGCATCGTAAATTCATGTGGAGAGCATTATGTGAAAAGAGAAAGGGTCATCAAAAGATTCCGTGGTTAGTACATAGGAGTCAACGAAAAGGACAAGGAATGATTTCCGATCCCGCACGTTGTGCAGAATCTCAGGTAGAAGAGGGAAAATGGCAAATTTTAGTCCCCAAGCTTTGGCAAAGTGCCTAACTAATTTTCAATCAAGCTTCTGTCACCAACCTTTGAGAAATTACCGGAAGTCAAACCCTATTCATGGTCTCTGTGAGTTTTTCCATTAAGCCATTCACGATTTCTGTTAATCGTCCAAAAAAGAGCAAAATTTAATATAACTTGTACATAAATTATTTGGATTTCTAGAAAAAATAGTATTTTTCGTTTCGACAATTTTACCATTACAGTAGAAAAATTTGTGTGTTGCTTGAAAATTTAATGTTTAATTAGATGTTTTTAGTTACACAGAGATATTATCACGCATACATTGTCAAAATATGGAGACATTGATGTCACAGATGAAAGGTTAGGGACATAGTTGTCACACTTATAAAAGGTTGGGAACCCCTAAAGAAAATTACTTTTAAATATGATATATTTAGTAATTGAAAATATTATGTATTACTATAATGAAAAGTATAGTGCATACGAATCAGGCGTGGCCTATGCATAAGGTCCCCGTCATGTAGATCCGCAACCTCAAGGCCACTAAGGGATCTTCGACACAACTCATATACTGATGTCAGATTGTCAAACACCCTATCATCGATTACCTTCAATGATCCTCAAACAGTATATCCATTCGAATGTGAAGTATAGAACAATACACATATGATGATTTCATTATATTCAAAATTATCATCTCGTTGTATATATCATGTCCAAGTATTCAACATCATTTCCCTTCCACTTTAATTATTGCTTATTTTACGAGTTATGCATGAAAAGTGAATACTTCTCTCATGTCCATGCATACGGATGCACGTAAATACCACAAATATATATTCACCATATATGAGTAATAAAGTCATACGATAGCATTTCAATGTTTGCACATGTATAACTATCATAGAGTCGAATCATATCTCGAATACTTTAAATCAAGAATAATTTAATATTTTACGTACATTGCACCATCATTACATTTCAAGCAACCAAGAATTGTCCTATATATCATATTTAGAGTCGAATATCATTTAAATGGAGTCCATTGGGATTGTAGATACCAAACACGGGGTTTTGGAGTGAAGCTAGGGACGTGGAATTGATCAATATCTAAGAACCAACACGAGAACACGTGGAAAACCAAGAGTGCTTTGATTGATATAGAGATTTTCATCAAATATATAGTATATCGTTGAAAAGCTTTTTGAGTCAAGAATCTAAATCCTTTTTCAAATCTCAATTACGAACCCTACACAAAGGAGTTATGCATGTTACCGTTAGAAACTGCACAATTTGTTTGGGAGAGGGGTTTGACCACTTCTCAAATGGGTCATATAAATGGGGTTCAACCCCCTTTATAAATGGGTCGACCCCCTATATATTGGAGGATTTGACCCCATAAGCAATATTTAGGGTGTATTTGATTGACTTTATTTTTCATGAAAAATGTTATTTTTTAACTTAAGTTCCTACTTTTAGTATGTTTGTTTTTCTTTTTTATTTTCGTGAAAAATATTTTCCAAAAGTTGGTTATGTGACCATGTTTTCTTTAAAAACAAAGAAATCATTTTCTTGGAAGAGGGGTAGGTAAAACATCTTTCCTACAATTCACACTTCTAAAAAATTCAATTTACTTTCTTTCTCATCTGCCCACCAATAAAAGATGAAAAATTTAAAAGTACGTATTTTTTGCATAGGCGTTGTACAAATTCATATATTTTTATTGTTCAAATAAACACATAAAACGTACTTTTTAAACGAAGATTTTAAACATTCTCTTAGAACATGAAATATAGTTTAAAAAATAATTAGAAATGACTGAAATTTTCGCACACTAGACTGCTAAAAAGCCCTTTCACTTTCTTACATAGTATATGAGACAAACATAATATTTTCGCGATATTAAGAATCAAATTTAAAAAGATTTGGACAAAAGAAAAAAATCCTTAGAAATAACAGAAAAAATGCGACTTTAATCCCTTCTTTGGTGGCCAAAGATTAAAGTATATAATTAAATTGGTGCTCTTCTTTGAGAATAGATAATGATGGCACCCAAGTCAACTTGATTTTATGGTATATTCTAACCTACCCAAGTTACACATCATTTGCTAGAATGTTGGATAAAGATATTGTAAATAAAAAAATCTACCGAAATGTTTATCCCCTCTCACATGCACGCGAGCCCCGCGTGAATTAAAAAATCCCAAGATGTGGCCCCCACCCCCTATTGTGTGTAGTCAGTAAGGGGATCTGATAAAAAAATTCGATACATGTAGCATAGTTCCAGAATGTTATATATTAGATATTTGTCCAATCAATGTAATTTTTTTCCTATCCTTTTATTTATTTAGTAATAAGTGCATAATTGTTTGTAGATACTATTGTAATATTTTTATTTTTGAAAAAAATATATAGACAACATGAAGAAATATATTTAAACACCAACTAGAATAAAGTTCAATATGCAGAATGTCGATTTGAACCAAGCCACCAAATAATCACTGCAGAAGAGAATATTGTGAACTAATATTTCATGTATATATGGTTTTCTAGAGTGCAAATTCACATTTCCAAAGTTTGGACAAACAAGAGAATATTTAAAGAGATAGGTATGCATGCACTATTTGTAGTTGACACGTAAATGTATACGTGCTTGTACTATTAGGGTAAAAATATTAATGTACCTAAAATATTGCACAACACTAATATATTTATAAGAGAAAAGGGAAAGGATTATAAAATAATGTTTTGTTGTTTTCACTTTATTTGATTTGCAATTCTTAATTTCTACTTCTCTCTTTTAAAGAGAGGGATGTGAGATTCACCGTTCATCTGTGTCACGGCCATTTTCACACCATGTTCATCAAACCGGTTTTGTTACATCTCTCCTCTTTTTTCTTCTCTTAAAAGAGAGGGCCGTGAGATTCACTGTTCATCTGTGTCATAGCCATTTTCACACCATGTTCATCAAACCGGTTCTGCTACAGTGCACATTTCTTCTCTCTTATTTTACTCCGCCATCTAGCCACCTTTGTTGACTAACACTAACTGAAACAAGCACTACTCTGTCATTTGCTTTCCACTTAGCCACCTTTGTGGACTAATTGAAACACTTCTTCCGTGTATTCATTAGAATTCACGTGAAATTCTATTACTAGATACAAAAGTTTTTTCATTCGGAAGCGATAGCATTGATTGATGGAGTTGATAAGTGGGAGCAATTATGGTACCCACTTTGCTTCAACCCTAATGCTCTGTTGTACGAATGATCTCCAAAGATTTCCTACAAAATATAACCGTGTATTGCGATTCTCAGAGCTCCATTTTACTCAATTTCTGTATGTTCGTTCCAAGTGTGCCTTTTGTCTTTATGCAGAATCTCTCTCTCTCTCTCTTTCACGTCATTAGGAGAAGAATTGTGTAATATGTAACTTCCTTTCCGCAAAACGTCATGGCAATGCTGATTTTTTAATTGACTTCAACATGCTTTCTTAACATTTAGTTCAATAGAGAATTCCCATCTAAGACAAAGGGGAAAAAATGTTACTTTCAAGCTGATAAATCACTTGCATGCTGATATGCTGTTCCCATTCTGATGAAGTGAGAATTGGAGTTCAATATATATTTTTCTCACCGAAATGTTTTGCTTTTACCAGTATTATTTCACTGAAAAAATGAAGAAATAGATGTAGAGCATAATCTTTAAGCCCATAATTGGGGGTGTAACCTTGTGGATTTTGATACAACTATGAGCTGGAAGTCTTCGCGTGCAGAGTTACTTGATATGGAATTTGGACAATATAATAGACAATATATATTAAGGGAAAAAATAGAATAAAATTCATTCCAATGTAGCTATAGTGAATACTCAAATACATATTTTATCTACAAGAATTTAACACACTAATAGTAACTTCAAAAAAATACTGCCCGTGTATTTAACTAGTATGTGAAAAGAGAAAGTGTAACACCCCAAATTTTATTCACTACTTTCACATTGGCCTAAAAATTTATGTTGGTCACTTAGCAAGTGGAATAATCCATGTCCAACATTTTCGTCATACTAAAGTCCAAAGGTTAATATGATAAGTTTAACCCACCTATTTGCATAATGATTTATTGTCTTATGCATATATTTTATTTGAAATTACCGTAACTTTTATTTGGGGTCAAATATTTACGTATTATAGTAGTTGATGAAAGATATCAAATATTATACTCGTTTTGTAGCTCATATTAAATAAAATAATTCAGAATAAGAAAAAAAATGATTTTGAACTAGTTATGTTCGAGTTATTCTAATAGAAAGAAAAAAAATGTTATCTCTAATATTTTATTAGTATTCTATTTAATATAAAAGAAACGTATATTGTTTTCAATTGTCTATCTATTTATAAAAGAAAGATAAGGAAATATGTTTTGGAGATTGGACGATTGAAGAATTTAAAAGGACAAAATGTAATTAAAAGGACAACAACTTTTCAAGTTAGAACAAGTCGTGTGGACGCGTGGAAGATTGACCAAGTAACGCTTATGTGGTCTACAAGTAAATAAATTAAGAAATGATAAATTGCAAATTTATATTTGAAGAACATCATTATGTTAAATTTTATGCACGTGATTTAACCGTTCTCTTATTGTGTTCGAGCATTTGACGTTTATAAATTTATATTGTTGGGTAGTTAAGTAATTTTTTTATATATATAATATCCACTTGTATTAGTTTGGAAATCCAAGTGTCCACGTTTGAAATTTTCAACTGATTAATTAACATATTCTTTATATCAAATCAATCATGGTTGATAATCAATCATGGGAAGGTTAAGTGTTGGAGTAGTAATAAAAATTAATTAAATGAAACAAAATGAATGATTTGGCTTTCCAATTTCTAAGAAAACGGACTACGTTTCAATTTATTATTTTATACACACACCCACATATATAATAATAATTATTATTATTATATTTTTTTATTAGTAAAATATAGAATTTAGATTACTTTTCTTTCTATCAAAATAATTCGAATATGACCGGTTCAAAATTATTTCTACTAGAGCCAATTTATGTTTTTTAGTACTAGTTACAAAATGAGTATAATATCGATATATTTTTATCGACATCTGAAATACTTAAATATTCTACCCAAATAACTTACGATAAATTT